ATTTATATAAAATTTTAATAATTTATTAATCTACTTTTAAAGGTTAAAATTTATTGTAATATTTTAGATTAAAAAATAAATATTTTTAATAAATATGAACAAATCTCCTATAAATAAATTCTTACTCAACTTATTATATGAACCTATGAAAAATATACATAAAGCCAGAAATAAATTTTCTCCGTATGTGATTTTGATTGATGATTTGTGGTGCTTTTTTTTACTTCCGTGGCACGCTTGGTTACTTGGACAAAAATTAGATAAAAAAGGAAAAAAAGAAAAAGGTTATTTATGGTCGATGTCAACATTTGGGCAATAAGATCAACTCAACGGAATGTTAATAATATTGGTAAAAACTCGTTTTTAGCCTCTCATCTTATCAAATTTAAATGTTTTAACCTCTCATCTTATATTATGACACTTTTAACCCTTCACTTATTAAAATTGAAGAAACTAATCATCACTTTGTAATATTTTGTTACTTTTATTAGTTGATTGTTAACTTTATTAACTAATTGTTAGTTGACTGTTAATTGACAAAAATTTCTTTTTAACTAACAAAATTAGCAAAACTACCTTTACAATATTTCATTCATTCTGTTAACTGATTATTAATTGATTATTGGTTGATAAAAACTTACTTTTAGCTAATAGAGTTAACAGTCAATATAAAATGAGGATTATTTTCTTATATTTTAATAGATAAGAGGTTAAAACTTACAAATCTAATAAGGTAAAAAGTTAAAAGTGTTATGTTATAAAATAAGAGCTAAAACCTTCAAATTTGGTAAGGTGAGGGGCTAAAGATAGGTTTTGCCAATAATATCAAACGTGGAGTGTGGTTAACGATCATGTAATTGTTTCTCTTAACTTTGCTTTAATTAAAGGCAATAAGTATACAATAGAAGGGTTTATTTGGTATCTAAAATAATTTTGACTGGCTTATTTGACATTAAAAAAAAAAAAAAAAAAAGTTAGTCAAGGAGATTGATTTAAACCAATAACGTAGTTGACGGGCCAATCTTGAGATTATTCTTTCAATTTCCCTACTTTTCTATTTGCTTTTCCATTTTTGAGAATCTTCGTGTTCTTTTCTCCATTTTCTTGGTTTGATGGGAAAACTGGCTTTTGCTTTCCACAATGAGGCTTCTAAACCATAATGATTGGAACCTCACACGAGATAAAAAGCCTTGAATGCGAATTGAAATCTTAATAGTTATAATTAGGAATTAATTTAAAAAGTTGGTGCATCATATTGTAGGATAATCTCATCAAATAAAGAAACAATGTTCAATGCTTAATTCAATAATTGGGTTTGTAACTTGCAAGAAAAACCTACATCAAATGAGCATAAGATAATCCGGCCAAAAAGCAATGAGGATAAGATATGTCCATAATATATTATCAAATAAATACTCTTTTTATTTGTTTATTTTTGATAGTTTTAATTTAATTTTTTAATTTATTAAACACAAATTTTAAATAAAATTTTAATAATTTAAATAAATAATAAATAAAAATTTTTATTAAACATTTTTATTTAAAAATTTAATTATTATTTATATAATATATTAAATTTTTTATTTAAAATTTATATTAAAAAATTAAAAAAATTAAACTAACTATAATAAAAAAGAACTTTGAAAATATGTAATTCATAAATCTTGATTTGGATCCACTTCCAATTCATGATCATGATCAAACGTTCAAATTTGGTTTGTGGGGTCCACGATGAGAGGTGCAACCCACCTTTTATGAAATAAGAAAAACACCCACCTCTCAGCATTATGTTGTTTCTCCACGAATAATGTGACATTTCACGGCTTTTCTTCACTTTACATCTTTTCCATGTGAGCACGTTAAAAAGTTCAGAGTATATTGAATGATATATTCACTTCCCAGCTTCCTCCACTTTTTTCTTTTACTTTTATAATTATTATGGCCACCTCCCTCGTTTTTCTTTTCTTTTTTTTTCCCTTTTGAAGGTTTGATTGATCTTGATTTGGTTTAAATTTTGAATCAAATAGGAATTGACGAGGGAATTTTTTTTTTCTTATGGGATTTTATTTCATTATAATGACTTAAGTAAATGCTCTTTTATGAGTTATGTTATTTATAATTTTAAAAAAAATATTTTTCACTAATCAAGCGGAAAATTAACCTCATTTTCAAATAAGGTTGGTTTGGAGGACTCAATTGTTAAGATTATAAATTAAAGAGCTTAAGTGGAAGAAACTATATAAGTTGTCCCCAACATTGCTATATCCTATACCTTTCTTTTTTCTCTCTTTGACTATGATTTTTGGACCTTCTTCTCTAAGATTCCTACAGTAGGCTGGGTCAAAATTAGAAAATTAGGTCGATGTAATGCCCTTTTCTTCAAGGAAATACGTTAATCATTAAGAAAAAAAACAATATCTTTTTCAACATCATCTATGTAAGAAGTTTGAAAACTGGGGAAGGCAACTATTGTCTGAATTGATAGTCACCGGATTCCAAAGAAAATGAAAATGACCGAATTAAGATTATGACAGGCACTTTTACACATGAAAAATTAGGTAGCCATTGTTTCTATTTTCCAATAAATTTTAGGATTTTGTCATAACTAACCAAACATCATTGCTCTTAACAGCAGTTGTTGTAAGCAGCCTCATCTTGATGGAGATGGATCTTTGTTTTACTTTACCGCCACCAATGAATATAATGAGGAATCAACCGAAATTACTATGTGTACGGCATATTTACTTTAAATCAGACTTTGGATTCTTGTGGTTTTATTTTTTTTTATTTTTTTTTATTTTTATTTTTGACAATTTGGTATCTAGTTTTGCTAGGTGTAGTTGACTTATAAATTATAAGAATTGTCTTCATAGGTCCCATTTGAGATGGGTGGAATACACGAATTTTAGAACGAGGGAATATTTACTGCCGTATAGTTTATTATCCTTAAATGTGGTAAATGAAAAGTTTTCGTAAAAATTATT